CGCCATAGATAGTTTCTGACTGCAAACTCGTGATTACTTGCGGCTCCATGTTGAAGCATGCATTAGAGTGTATATTAGGCGCAATACTGTAATCGAACGAGAAATTCTACCCCATAACTATGTTTGCTCGATTGTATATTACTCGTACGAAGAATGCAAAATGACAAGTTTGCTTATAACGCTAACAGAGACGCAGCGAATGAGCAAAACGCTAGTACATATTCCCGCAGGGCGTAAGTTACAAGAGAGCAAATAGCCGAAACATAAAAGTAGCGCAGCGTTGTCACATACCGGCAACTGCCAATTTGTACATATATTTCATGCAGGAACATCACACAAGAGCAAACCCTAAAAGATGCCAGACTACATAGTTACAACGCAAAACATATGCGGGGAAATATCCAATGCAGCAAAAAGGAGCAAAAGAGAGCGACTTGCTGGAAAACACTTTGGAACTTGCTACTTTCAACGTTCGGTTGCTAAGGCCTATACCAGAAATTGCTAGGGTGTGAATGTGGTTGCTACCTTGTAACTGAGAAAGCAGCACATACAAAAGAGCAAAAAAGTGAGACTGTCAGAAATTATGGCATTTGGCAAATCCGCAATATAGGCAAAAAGTTGCGATTGCTGGATTGTATTACACCGGTCCACCAATGCTACAGCAGACAGGAGTTCGGAATTTCCAGTATTGCATAAAGCAGTCGCCGGCTGAGACTTTACTGGCAATACTGAGAGACTAATGAAAAGGAAGCATTGCCAATCCAGAAGGAGGCCAATCAAAGTCACCGATCCGCCCTGGAGGGCTGGAGACTCGAGAGTGTGTCTCGAAAAACTTGAGAAGTTTTTTGGGAGACACTGAGTGTCAGCAGGTACGCGGAAACATCCACCTGCACCTTTCAATCGATATGATGAGTTCAGCTATGGTACGGATTGGCAACGAAACGTAGCCTTCGATTGGCTTGCGCAGTCTCCTTGATTAAAAAGGATACTTTTTTATAGTCAGCAGTTTTCTTTACAAGTATCACTCATCCATGTGGACGGCTCTCCTCGCTGGAAGCTCTCTCCTTGTGGGCTCCCTTGCAGATACTCCCGACAAGGCCTATCACTACTACGAGTTCCACCTGGATACTAAACTTTACTGCATCGAAGGTCTCCGAGATGCACAAGAGAGGCCACTTTTTTGCAGCGACTCCATCGCTACGAAGACTGCCGACCTGACCCTTCCCGTTATGGATGATGGTGCTCTTATTACTAGCTCTCACGTGATGATCGGTAGTGATGGGTCTGTAGTGGGATCGAACTCACTGGAGCTGATGAGATGAGTTCATGAACCATAACTCACGACGAATGTGGCAGTACCGTGTAGTGCGCAACAAGGACACTCAGTGTTTTCGTCAAAAATACTTACAATTCAATACTGCCCTAACGATTATCGTTAAAAGATGAGAGTTCGCTCGCCTGCAAACCACAAACCTTCCGCTGGAGATCTGAAGTTAAGAGGGGTTTAAACCTTTGTTTGCCCCGAATGGAAGATCAGAGAACGCATATAAGACTTATATTATATGTTGAGACTCTCAACTTGGGAGGACTCGACTAAGGGCCGCAGACGGTAGGACAGTCCGAATAGGACTGGCGCTGTAGTCAGGCTACTGCGCCTGCACTGAACTAGGTCTTCGGTGCGAAGGGGCGGAGCTCGCTGAGCTTCTTATCAAGAAATCAGCTGGAGGTTATTGAAATTATTTTGGGAATTGGGTGACTAAAAACAAAAAGTTGTCGAGGTTGTATGGCGTCGTCGACGTGATCGACCACGCAGAAGGCGTGGATAGACGTCTCCAGTGTTAAGTGTCTCCTTATAAAGACATATGAGAAAAATGACAGTCGCGAGATTAGACCTTGGATTATTAGGTCGGGAATCTTGGTTACTAACGTACTAAGCTAGCAGTTCCTCTCTTGTGTGGAGAAACGTTTCGTCGAAAACAAGCGGGCAAAGCAACAGCCACACTTTCGCTATATTTTTACGCTGATGATCTGTCAACGAGGGATAGAATGGTACTCTTTTTGTCTTCTGAACCGCCCTAGTCGGGTCGGAATTTTTGCTCACGCACGGACGGACGGACGGACGGACGGACGGACGGACGGACGGACGCACGCACGCACGCACGCACGCACGCACACTAGTGTTCGTGCGCAGTAACATGAGCTTCGCTCGCTCCGCAATTATGTGGAGTAATGGTTGTTAGACACTGAGCTGAGTTGGGTAAACTAGAACTTGAATCAAATCAGAAATCCTCATAGTGTCGTAGACTACGACTCGTAGTGACTCGCCGACAACGAGGACTTCTCACGATGGTGAGTACATGCATCTTGGTGATACCAATTCCGTACGCGCCAGGCACGTCGCGACTTCGACACTTTCGCTCAAGCTTATCCCAGCTTACCAGGGTCAACTTTACACGCTAGAACTCGTCAGTCACATATGTTTCATTCAAGGAGAATAGGAACCCACCAACACTCCCCACGACACTGAAGTAGCCTACTCGTGTACGGTACATGTGAGCCCTTGGAGCAGACCGTCAGGGACAACGCCCAAGGAGACAGTTGATGGCGCCAGCGGGCCGCTGGCAGCGGTCAGAAAAACCAAGTCAATGTCAGACCAATCAATCGCCAACTTGGAACTTGGCGAACTCGGAAACGAAACCTCACCCATGGCTTCATCTTCGCTCTGTGGAAGTGTCCGAAAAACTCTTCGGAAGGATCAAGACGCTTACGCTAAGGATTGCACGTCGTCCAATGCTCCAGCAGACAGGAGTTTGGAACCTCCAGTATTGCATAAGGCAGGCGGCGGCTGAGACTTTACTGACAACAACTGAGAAGCTTGAAAATGGAGAGCATTGCCCATCCGCAAGGTGGCCAATCAAAGGCCCCGATCCTTTCTGGAGGGTTGGAGACTTGAAATCGGTTGGGAGACACTGAGTGCCTGCAGGTACACGCAAACATCCACCTGCTCCTTTCAATCGATACGACGAGTTCAGCTATGCTACGGATTGGCGACTAAACGAAGTCTTCGATGGGCTCGCTCTCATTGAAGGAACGGGATACATTGTACTCCCTTCTCGACGGAGAGTTCTCGTCTGCAGATTTTTTTCGAAGTATCACTCTCTCATGTGGACGGCTCTCCTCTCTGGAAGCCTTCTCTTTGTGGGCTCTGTTGCTGTTCACCACTACGAGTTCCACATGGAGACCACACTCTACTGCGTCGAAGGCCTCACAGATTTCGAGGGGAAACCCCACCCTTGCAGCAAGTCTATCGCCTCTAACACGGCCGGCATGACCCTTCCCGGTATGGACGACGGCAAGTCCCTCATGTTCAAGTCTCACCTGGTTATCGGTAGCGATGGGTCTGAGGCCAGAATTGATGCTCATCCAGCCTATCCTTATCAGTACTTCATGACGACCACGACTCCGGAGCTAGTATCCGTGCATAGTCTCAGAAACGGTGAATCGTTCTTTATCGGTAGTGCCCCTCCTCAAGCTCATAATATGCCTATCGTAGCTGGTGGTTCCTTGTCGCTGAAAGAAGACGGGTGGACCTTCCATTCGACTGTGGTGGTGGGTGGTGCGCGGCAGCATACGTGGGTGAAGGAGGGCTTCAAAGGTGTAGATCCAGCAACAGGCTTCAACCACTCACATGTGCACGACGCTAATCTAGCACCGGATACCTGGACTCTCACCATGGACGAGCGTGAAGAGAAGCCGTTGAAGCTTGTAGCTAGCAACAGTAAGCATGGCCATGCGCACCACCAGGTGGTGGTCTTCACCCACTTCGAGAAGAGAGAGGGCTCTCTAACCTCGAAAGAGGCTGAGGTGCGACTCTACAACGCGTACCAAGTCCCCAAGAACGTGGCGCCTTTGCCCTCCAGGAGGCTAATGACTGCGCAGGAACATCTTCAGATCTTGAAGGACGCAGCTGGAAGTCTACTTTCTGGACATATACCTTCCGATCCTGGTAGACTTATTCACTCAGTGGGCTGGTTGAGGAACCAGCACTTCCGCACCTCTAAAATTATCAAGTATTTTGCCCACAATGCTGGAAAGGCGGCTGTCGAATACTTCGCGAATGGTGCTGCTCCTCGTGCTCCTCCTGGACCCGCCGTCGCGTTCGACTTCCAGTTTCCGAGGGGATGCGAGACTTCTGCCAGGGTGAATAGCCTTTGTATTGCTATCAAGGTTTCTGCAGCTGGTTCAAAACATGCTGAAGGGTATCTTCACGTACAGTTCCCGAATGTTGAGAGGAGAGGCCTTGGAGCGATCCTGGACCTATCTATTAAGATGGAGCACGATCCTTTCGTCATTGACTTGAATGCACACGGCACTGGCTGCTCGGTGGTCTTCAAGTTAGGGTCGGCCGTCTACATCTCCGTAACGGTATGCGTCCACGCCTTGGGTGGTTGTAACCGTAATGTTCACACTGGCGTATGCACTGCGTCTGTCGTGGCTTGGGCGCATTTCACGGTGCATCTTCCTAGACCGGTCGGTAACATCATTCAGGCCACTCTTACCAGTACCCTTGCTCTTCGTGCTGGCCCTAAAAACTTCGTGGAAGTTAAAGGAGGCATCGGAACAAGCGCATCGATACCCTTCCCTAGTGCAAGTGCAAGTATCAGGTTCAACTACGTGGCCGTCACCTTCGACCAATACTTGGAGAGGTGGAAGTTGACCGCTGGGTTAACCTTCGATGCTGGTATCAGATTACTCTTTTGGCGTCCCTCATGGCACAAGTACTATCCCCTCATCTCCCACACTTACTAGCTTCGATTATATTCACTTTTCTTCTTTGTTTGTATCATTAGTGTGCTGGCACTTCTCATATCATGACGCCTCCGGTATCAGTGCTCGACCTCGACAAAAATTGTTTTGAGGAATCGTTTCGGTCCAACTACCAAATGACGGAACGGAGCACATTGGCACCATCACTTCATTATCATAGATGAGCTCGTTTTGTATCGTTTCCCACATCTTGAACTCTGCTGAGGAAGCGGCCATAGACTACGACCCTCAATGTCTAGTCAAATAGAAGGTGATGCCTAACAGCGAGTAGCTTGCTTCTGTTCGTAACAATATAAGATCTGCTGCAAGTTATGCCACTCGCTATTACCTTTTTGTCCATCTTTTGACGCTAAATGCGACGTTCGAGCACGTGTGTTTCGCTCGGGCCGAGCCATGGCCAGTCCTCTATTCATACACAGTATCCAACTGGGTCGTAGTGGGTAGCCGTAGTATTTCGTATACTCGAGCTTCGATAAGGCATACGTCTTAGTAGTCAATTATTGATCGTCTTAATGGCAACTCCTGAGAGTCGCGTTGATAAGTTCCGGGCAAACTCTCATACACTTCTAATCCGCGTTGGAGCCGAATTCTCGTCTTACCGTCCGAACGAGGTCTTCTTGATGTGAAGTGCGAGTAGGGCATCACGCTCATGCATACGATGTGTGCGTGCATGTGGCGCACTTGGCTGCCATACTTCGGATTATACTTTTTCCGTAGGATTCTGCAGTAGCGTGCTACACTGCAAGTTGCAGGTACCATTTCCCAACGCTCTAGCCGCTATTGTCGCCAGGTGCTCTTTCCCACAAGGAAGGCGGTCCCTGGCAAGACAATTAAGGGGTGGTTCTACTTCGAGCCGAGCGAAGACTATGGTGATGTAACTGTGTCTCCAAACGGCCGCCCTTTAGAGCCTGGTCAGATGGTCTTTACTGCGAGAGGATTAGACTTTCGATTAGAGTTGACTATTGTAATACTCTAGTCTAGAGTATGTCTAGTAGACACAACAGTGTTGTGACAACACACCTCCGTTGGTGGAGATAGAACACATAAGACAACAGACAACGATACCATAGCTAATTGATAGAACTGTGTTAGATTATTGTCGCTGAGATAGACGTTCGGATAACTATGGATGTGCAACTGGGCAACTCAACTTCTGTGGTTAAGGGCCGATTAGACCTCACTAGAGCCATCTGCTCAGACTTAGCTTAATATATGTGTATGCGTGCAACTGCAAATTGCACGAATCTCATAAACGGAGCAAGATCAATTGGAGACAGAAATTATGCTGACTATCACAACTATCTTTCAAAGTTAGATTAAATATGTGTTAACTTTGCTACGCGACCTGAGAAGTTGAGGCATCTTCCAAAGTACAACTCACGAGACACTACGCTGCTGCTCAGTGGTCAGTATTAGATACAACCCAGCTAACGTGTATACCTCAGCCATGAGGATCAAGAACCTACTCTGTGGGACAAGAGCTTACGGGAGTGAGACTCACTCCCGTAAGACTCACTCAGTGAGTCGGACGATCGACCTGGTGATGGAGCTCGGTCACCCTAAATGGCCCTGCATGGCATGCAGTGCATGCTGCTAGACATGCCCATCTTCTCTTCTCTCAGCGTCTTCTTCGGCTTCATGGCTCTCGAGAGCCCGTCTGGCATAAGGCCGGTCTGACGCCAGTGGCACTAGCCTAGTGTTCAGTACTGCGATTTGACCGTGAAAGCCATCAGAGGTTCACACATCTGTTCGCATCCGCGCCACCTCAGCCGGCTATGGAGACTTGGATGACACTCACACTAACCTGCGTCGCGGTTCTTTATCGCGTCTGGGAAAAGATAAGAGAATAATGAACTCTGTCACCGCTAGACTAACGGCGCTAGCCTCTAGCGTAGCTTGGAGGGCCGCGCCCGCGGCCGACCCGTGCGCGTACCGATCGGCCCACTGTATCATCTCCACCTTCGTTGAACTCCACGGGTTCAACTCGTCAGGTTGAAGTCCGCACCGAGCAGGCCTCCTTCCTCGGATCGTGTAGCCTCGTTTCCCGGAACTTCCGGGCCGAAATAGCCTCGTCGGCCTGGAGCGTAGACTGCACACTAGCGCAAGGGCTTACTTCTTCGTCTTCGGCCGCGTCTGCGCTGGTAGGACCCGCCGTCCGGAGGAGTTCCCCATGAGCCATTCCAGGCGTTGCTGTCGCTGGATAGTATCGCTCAATGACCATCAATGAACTCATACAGGCCTTCAAGGTACTGTTCCATCGTAGTGCGACCATCGGAGGGGCAGTAGCCAGATATCAGGCGGATGTGCGGATGACGATCACCACGGCAAGCTATGTCAACCATCGCCCAGTCTAGGGACTCCTCTAGACAATTTCTAGTAAACCATAGGCTACAAACCACTTGATGATGTACGCGCACCTCGGGCGAGGCTCGGACACGCGGCCATGGGCTTATAAGGCACGCGCTCTGCCGACTGAGCTACCGAGGCGAATGCAGCATTAAAAATAGTAAAAGATAGACTGCTACACTCTTCCAAGACAATTCCTAGTAAACCATAGACTAAAAACGACTTGATGACGTATGCGCACCTCAGGCGGAGCTCGAACCTGCGGCCACGGGCTTAAAAGGCACGCGCTCTGCCGACTGAGCTACCGAGGCGAATGCAGCACTTGATCTAGTAAAAATGGACCCCTAAACTCTTCCAAGGCAATTTCCAGTAAACCATAGACTAAAAAGCACTTTATGATGCATGCGCACCTCGAGCGGGACTCGAACCCGCGGCCACGGGCTTAAAAGGCACGCGCTCTGCCAGCTGAGCTACCAAGGCAACTACAACTCTCAAACTAGTAAAAGATAGACCGTTACACTCTTCCAAGACAATTCCCAGTGAACCATAGACTGAAAACCGCTTGATGATATATGCGCACCTCGGGCGGGGCTCGAACCCGCGGCCACGGGCTTAAAAAGCACGCGCTCTGCCGACTGAGCTACCGAGGCGAATGCAGCACTTAACCTAGTAAAAATGGACCCCTAAACTCTTCCAAGGCAATTTCCAGTAAACCATAGACTAAAAACCACTTATTGATGTATGCGCACCTCGGGCGGGGCTCGAACCCGCGGCCACGGGCTTAAAAGGCACGCGCTCTGCCGACTGAGCTACCGAGGCGAATGCAGCACTTGATCTAGTAAAAATCGACCCCTAAACTCTTCCAAGGCAATTTCCAGTAAACCATAGACTAAAAAGCACTTTATGATGCATGCGCACCTCGAGCGGGGCTCGAACCCGCGGCCACGGGCTTAAAAGGCACGCGCTCTGCCGACTGAGCTACCGAGGCGAATGCAGTACTTGACCTAGTAAAAATGGACCCCTAAACTCTTCCAAGGCAATTTCCAGTAAACCATAGACTAAAAACCACTTAATGATGTGTGCGCACCTCGGGCGGGGCCCGAACCCGCGGCCACGGGCTTAAAAGGCACGGGCTTAAAAGGCACGCGCTCTGCCGACTGAGCTACCGAGGCGAATGCAGCACTCGACCTAGTAAAAATGGACCCCTAAACTCTTCCAAGGCAATTTCCAGTAAACCATAGACTAAAAACCACTTAATGATGTATGCGCACCTCGGGCGGAGCTCGAACCCGCGGCCACGGGCTTAAAAGGCACGCGCTCTGCCGACTGAGCTACCCAGCCGAATGCAGCATTTGTCCTAGTAAAAATGGACCTATAAACTCTTTCAAGGCATTTCCAGTAAACCATAGACTAAAAACCACTTGATGATGTATCATACATCATGTATGCGCACCTCGGGCAGAGCTCGAACCCGCGGCCACGGGCTTAAAAGGCACGCGCTCTGCCGACTGAGCTACCGAGGCGAATGCAGCACTTAAACTAGTAAAAGATAGACCGTTACACTCTTCCAAGACAATTCCCAGTGAACCATAGACTGAAAACCGCTTGATGATATATGCGCACCTCGGGCGGGGCTCGAACCCGCGGCCACGGGCTTAAAAGGCACGCGCTCTGCCGACTGAGCTACCGAGGCGAATGCAGCACTTGACCTAGTAAAAATGGACCCCTAAACTCTTCCAAGGCAATTTCCAGTAAACCATAGACTGAAATCCCATAGTCACTGGGGTTGGGAGAGGAGTTCCAATCCGCGGCCTGATGCCGAAGGGCTGGAACTCGGACCCTGGCTGCTTGACGGTACTCTGCTGTGCGGCAAGCAACCAGAGACCCCCCAGTAACAAGGGTTGAGGTGGGTGGGTTGAGTTCGAGTTGATCTGGCCTTAAGGGAAGGCCAGAAGGCTGTCGGGAGAGGAAACTCTCAGAGCAACCGAACAGCCGTGAAGGGAGAGACCGAATTCCCCTGTAGGTGGAACTTAGCGTAGCTTAGCTAAGTCTGATTTCGCGGCTCCTGTCTCAACACAATTGATTGTCCCCCTGCGTGACGTGGCGATTTCACATCAGATAACGCCACGGCGTTATCTTACACTAAAAACCACTTATTGATGTATGCGCACATTGGACGGGGCTCGAACCCGCGGCCACGGGCTTAAAAGGCACGCGCTCTGCCGACTGGGCTACCGAGGCGAATACAGCACTTGACCTAGTAAAAATGGACCCCTAAACTCTTTCAAGGCAATTTCCAGTAAACCATAGACTAAAAACCACTTATTGATGTATGCGCACCTCGGGCGGGGCTTGAACCCGCGGCCACGGGCTTAAAAGGCACGCGCTCTACCGACTGAGCTACCGAGGCGAATGCAGCACTTAAACTAGTAAAAGATAGACCGTTACACTCTTCCAAGACAATTCCCAGTGAACCATAGACTGTAAACCGCTTGATGATATATGCGCACCTCGGGCGGGGCTCGAACCCGCGGCCACGGGCTTAAAAGGCACGCGCTCTGCCGACTGAAATACCGAGACGAATGCAGCACTTGACCTAGTAAAAATGGACCCCTAAACCCTTCCAAGGCAATTTCCAGTAAACCATAGACTAAAAACCACTTATTGATGCATGCGCACCTCGGGCGGGGCTCGAACCCGCGGCCACGGGCTTAAAAGGCACGCGCTCTGCCGACTGAGCTACCGA